AACGTGGGGTTTCCCCTAAAATTCCAACCAGACCCTTGATCCGAGCACAGACCTGGCAGGGCAGGAAATGGGGGGGGGTAACGAGCGGACAGCACCCCCGTTCCTGCCATACCAGGTCACATGCCCTCATCCTGGGAGCGTGCTTTTCCAGGGTCCCACAGTCTGCCTGCAGGTCCCAGATAAATCAAAACAAATGAGCGGAGCCAGCCGTGACATCAGGGCTGGCTCCGCCCAGCTGTTGTCATTTGCGGGAGAACGGTCGGCTTCGGCTGACCTTTCTCCCTGCTTCGGCTGTCACTACGGCTCAACCAAGCCTAAGCATATGCGTTTGGCTCGGCTGAGCCACTCGGCTGCCTTCAGCTTCTGTACAGGCTTTTGTGAATAGCCCGTACAGCAGCCCTTCGATACGACTGAACCGAAGGGCTCAGGCGGCCGAAGCGATCCGAAGTATCAGCCAAAGCTACCACTAGATCCTTTGGCAGGTAAGCGAATAACCCTCTAGATGTTTAGTAGGTTACTCTTGCCTAATCATGATTAATTGGGCTGATTTACTAGTGGAGTTGAGAATTTTCACATAAATTGTATAAATATTCACTTCAGTTAACCATTTAGATAAAAAGCAAATTCTTGTTCACTTTGAATATTTAAACATGTGCAGATGATGTGGCAAACCAACACTTTTTTCTACATTTGTGGGGCCCACCAGACTCTAGGTGACCTATTGATTGAAATATATTTGACTTAAAATGTAAATGTAAAAAGGAGGCACAACACTACTAAAAATTAGGAAAGAACATATGAAATAGAGGAGGATGGAATCAGCCTTATCTGATACAGTCTTTTGGTAAAACCACTAAACTCTAAAGTAATGTTATTTTCTAGGGAAGAGTCTGATGGTGCAGTCTCTGAGGAAGTGTAAGGAGCTCTTAAAGTTGAATACAAATAAACACTGAATTTCTCAAACCAGCTCAGAAGCCCAGGGCTAAGAAGGAAAGACTGCTGCCTCAGGCAATAGCTTTTTCACTTAAAGAGCTGTTGAAAAATTGCACTTTTCTCTCAGCAAAGTTTCAAGTTTTCAGAGGGTGTTAGCAGCAGTGCCAGCAGGGTAAATTTTCTTTTTCAATAAAGAAGCAAATGATTTCGCATAGTGAGAGAGAAAACAGCTCTGAAAGCAAAACACAAAATATGGCAGGCTTTAAGCTTATTTGTTGCTGATGTTGAAGGATTTAGCAAAATAAATATATGTATTTGTATCAGTTTTTGGGAAGGCGGCTCTCCTGGGCATTTGATAAATGACCACGTTAATGCCTGTCATTGTACTCAGTCTATAAACCTGAGAGGGGTTTATTCTTTGTGCAGTGATGGAGTGATCTAATCTCATGTTCCCATGGTACATATTTTGAGAACGTAGGCACATGTGGCATTCTGGCAAGAAAAATGAGTGCCTGGTGCCAGTCAGCTCTCTTTCTACATTACTTATTCTACACTTAGAGATGAAATAATTTCCAGGTTTTCAGTTGTATTGAAAGATCAGAACATAAGCAAGCAAAAGGCTGGAAACTAAGAAAGTCACTTTATCCAGCCAAATTTACCCTACTATTCTTTAGATGCCATCTTAGATATTTTGCCCTACAAAACACTTGAAGGGCAAAGTGTTTTGGAGGGCAAACTTTACAATTTATACATTGTAAATTGATTGCAGATTTCCAGGCAATAATGAAATCCCCTATTTCTCTGAGATCCCTGTTTTGTGGGACAGGAAGCTGCTAATGAAATCTGATATTGCACTGTCAGCAACCATACAGATATAATGGTAGTATGAGAATATCTGAATTTAAATTGTTGGACTTCATTCTCCCAAGCATTGTTGTTTTCTAGGTGTCTGCAGAAGGTGGAGTCCCCTATATGTTACCAGACGGTACAATAATAGTAGAACAAAAGTTTTTTCTCTATCTCAACACAATTCCTTTAATGATACAGAATATGAATTGATTCCATAGTACTCATATATGGGATCTCAAATAAATTAAACACATTAAATCTGTTCAAATTATTTTTCTAAAATATTATGTAATATTATTACACGCATAAATCATTGTGTAGCCAGACAGCTCTGGCTCTGGCTGACAATTTGGTAATAATTTACTTCTTGGGTACCAATACAGCAACAAATGTTCTTGTTTGAGTCCTCAGATAATGTAGTTTAAGAACCCCCTCCACCACAAGACTCATAGGGGTCTATTCACAAAGCTGCCAAGGGCAGCCGAGTGAATGACCGATCAGAAGTGAAGTAAGTCACAATTCTCCGCAGAGTCAAAACTGCACATGAAACAAAATATTTAGGGGGTTATTCACTAAGGAGCCAAAGGATTCAGCCGAATGTTCGGCTAATTATTTGGCTCACTTTGGCTGCAGAAACCCTTCGGTTTAGCTGAATCGAATAGCTACTGTAGGCGCTATTCTCAATAGCACCTACAGCAGTTGAAGGCAACCAAAGTAAACAACTGAATTCAGCCGAGCCAAACTAATATGGTTTGGCTTGGTAAGGCCGAATAAACAGCCGAGGGGGGAATGGTCCACCGAAGCAGTGTAAAAAGTTAAAAGATAAAATTAAAAAAAATAACAGTGTGTAGTCCCCTCCCAATTCAGACCAGACCCTTGAGGTCTGGTAGGAATGTTAGGTGGGAGCCCCGATGTCCAAAAAAAAAGAAAGTGAGGTTGCCCTGCAAAGTCATACGAGACCATTTAGGTCTGGTAGGAATTTTAAGGGGGACCCCAATGCACCCAGATACATATAAGCCAACCTGGATGCAGACCCCCTTGTCCTCATCCCCCCCCCCTCGGCAAACCACCCTCCCAATGTCGAGGGCATGTGGCCTGGTATGGTGCAGGAGAGGGTGCATGCTCTGCCCCCTTTCCTGCTCTGCCAGGCCGCTGCTTGGATTAGGTGTCTGGTATGGGATTTTAGGGGGCCCCACAGTTTTTTATTTCAGTTTTTGGGCATTGTGGTCCCCCTTAAAATTCTTACCAGACCTAAAGGGTCTGGTATGATTTGGAAAGGGGAGCTCACACAATTTTTTGGTTTACAATAACATTTTTCATTCTGCTTTACTACCTCTGAGGTAATGGACAGAATGACCGAACTGAATTAAGAGCTAAACCTACAGCATTTCACTCTCTGCTGTTTCACCCCTTGGGGAATAGGGGTGAACAGCAGGGAATGAACTTTCAAAAGTTCTCTCAAAAGCAAGTTATTTTTATAGTTAATTATTATATAGTTCTATCTATATTTGGATCTTCACAAAACATTTTAGATTTACCTCTATACATTTCCCTAAGTACCATCCTTTCAAACACATCAAGCCTCTTCATACATACTCTGGACAAGGCCCATCATTTAACTTTATACTAAAAACTGATTATTTAGGAGTTTTGCAAAGCTGAACGTTAGTTGTCCTCAGCAGAAGGTGTTTTGAAACTTTTTTGTGGTCTACAGTAACAATCACTGACAGTCATTTTACATGCGTTCATTTTTAAATTAATATTATTCTCTGAATTTACTTTTGTACCAGCTTAGGAGGAAATTTTTACCTGTCAGAATTTATATGCCACTGCAATGAGAAATGTGGGTTTGCTATGACTATTCCCTCCCTTCTACACACACGCACTTGGTTTTCCACTAATTATCCAACAAAGCCCTACATCCTGCATGATCCAGTGCTAGCGAAGTTTTGATTAGTATGTCCCTAGAACTGCAGCAGCATCTATATCATCAGCATAACCCTGTATCTTTATTTGATAAAGATGTGACCTATGGTTTGTATGCTTCCCTCTCTAATAACTTTCTCTTTTTAAATGTTCTCGCTTTTTATTTCCACATATGTTCTGTGTTGTTATCATTGTACATCTATTGTGTTTTCTTTTTTTAAATGCTGTGGACCTTGCAACCTACATATAAATAAAAGAATTGCAGTAATAACAACTACCATATTTTTAGTAGTTCTCTAACAATATAAAACCAGATATATAAGATAATGTCAGTAAGTATTAACCTGAAAAAAAGAAACTTTTTTTTTCTCATCAACATTATTTGTGATCATAACTCTGGCATCCTGCGTCATTTCCTGATCATTAACTTTTAGAGCAGCTCTGTTGACCTCAAGGAAACAGTTCTTGAGACATGATTTAAAAAATATATATTTGGCTAATCTAGAATAAACACAGGTCTCAAGTCCTGATGAATTGTTCATCTATAATTGCTCAGTTAAGTGTATTGAAGCTAGCTACAGGAAGAAACCTGTAAGGGCTAGAAATGAATCAGTTGACAAAACTCCCACTCTGGTTCTCTAAAGCAGACTCTCAAGATGGCATTATTTTATCTCTAAGTTCAAGTGAATATTCATTTGTGTCACCAGTGACTCACAGGCTGCAAGCACCTTCCAAGTTAGCGATTATGGTAAATTAAACTAATCCTTCCTTGGCATTAGGTATTAAGCTTGTAAGATAAAATAAAAGTGCCTTAATACCTTAAAATACTTGGTTGCAAATTCTTAAATAATGTGTTTAAAATGTAAAAGCTTAGAAATGTTTCTGATGATATAGCAGCCAAGCTATTAAAAGCATTCCATTCTATTTTGAAAATATTTAATATATTATGTGTTATTTTTATGTTATAAAATAAACCTGTTATACTGCCATATAGACAACATAGGCAAAATAACCTGGATTTCTTAAAACAGGTACCACTAGTTACCTAAACACACCTCTAGGCAAATGTCTTGGTTTCTCAAAGCAGGCACCTCTAGCATTTTCCAGCCCTGCTCAGGTGCAGCCTACCAGGAGCTCCATGGACTCTGCCTTCATTCTCCAGGATTTCTTAAAGTTAAAGCTACACTGGCTGCACTTCAACAATTTTTTTTCAGTATGTTTATTATGTTCATCTGCTTCTAGTGGTACAATACCAACCATTACATGAATATATATTTGTTTAATATACTTACTTTTCACCTTCTCCATAGCTGCCCAAGGCAGATGTTACAGACACCACGCAGATCACCAAGGATGAACCTGAAATTAAAGTAAGTTTCTCGTTATATGAATAATTGACTCTTTAAGTCTCTATATATCTCTATGAGCAATGCCAAGCGTATATCTCTTTGTTGCAGGCAGAGTATGAATTCACAGGGTTTCTTTTATAGAAAAAATATTATTTCATACTAAAACATCTGGAGTTATAGCCAAAAAAGTATGTAAAATAAGAAATGAAAATAACGTGCACTAATGCTGAGTACATTACACTGACATAGTCAATAATTGTGAGTCCTGTGGCTTATGGTGATGGGATTATGCTTTTGGGTGTAAAGGTAAGCCAGCTATGATATGATAAACATGGCTGCTAAACCTTTAGTGGAAAATTATCTTTGGTTTATTTAATAAGGCAGAGAGCAATGCACAAATAGCAATGTACCCATAGCAACCACAAATAATGTATCCACCAAGAAAACAGTATTTGAATACATAAGTAGCCAGCCACCATTAAGATATGTATAACACCATAACGTCTTAAAAAACAGCGTACTAAGTATTGCCCTGCCCAATGTGTTTCATTGTTTAGGACTTTACTAAGGACTCTCACTCATTTTATCACTGTGGATTTTTATAAGAGCTCCATGACCCTTATACAGTCATAAGTGACAACATACTTTGAATTGAGTTAGACTTGATAAACTGTTTATAAACTGTGTTATAAAGATTTGGTTTGCAGATTTTTTTTAAGCTTTAAAAATAAAGAAGGTATCTTACAGATCTGGAGCTTTTTAATGACATGTTCATGATCCAAGCCTAATAACATGGTATGCAATGTCAGGTAACTTTGCTGCATAAACAGTGAGCTTAAGCTCCCACATGTTTCAGTGTAAAGGAGACCAGCAGTCTCAGGACAAGAATTCTGGACACCATCCCTTGATATTCAAATTAGAGTTTCTCTAGACCCAATAACAAAAATGTTATATATTTTAGCTTACCAGTCCATAGATGTGGCAGTTGCATTTGTTTTCTTTATTAATTTTTCTTTTAGTTTTACCTGGTGATCCAGCCACTAACACACCTTCTGTCCTAGAGTGACAACACTCATTCACTGTACTGTATTTATGGAGGAGCAGCATTGCCCCTTAGGACAGGAAGTGTGCTATCAGGTCACCTACCCCTCTATTCATCTCTGTGGCATAGGAAAGTGGTTTTCTGCAGTCCACAGAGAATGGAAAGTAGAGTAGAGTGCAGTGCAGCAGAGGCAGCATGTAGGGAGAAAGTAGAAGCTCACTGGATTTCTGGCAGAATTAGGTTCAGGGTTTTTTTTTACAATTATTGAACAAATACAAGAAAACACTTTTCAATTGTATTTTTAACATACCAAAAATGAGCAAATAATATTTTTTTTTCTTAGCGATTACATACTCTATAATTATAAGGTACCATCCCACTGGTAAGTGTTACTATTCACTCAGGTGGTGGAGATTGTGTTGTAAAGCACTGCAAGTGTCCTTTTCTCAGTTGAGACATATTGGGGTTCATTTACTAATGGCAAACAGGCTGTTCACTTTACAAGGGATTTTTCTTTTTCATTTAGCTTAATGAATGTGGTGAAAATTCATTTTGCAAAAATACCCAATTATGTGCAAGAAAAATAACAAAAATGGTATTTTCGCTTGCACATGATTGGCTGATGGAAGTCAGCAGAGCTACACCTCATTCACTAAAGTAAGGGAAAATTCCCCTGCAAAGGGAAAATTCCCTTACAAAGTCAACCGCCTATTTGCCTTTAGTAAATCAACTCCATAAAATAACTTCCATAACAGCAGTTGGAGTTATTGATACCATTATTACTACAGCGTATGTAGTATTATGATGTGTCACCTACACTCCCTACAGCGATTGGACCTTGCTTAATGGTCGTGGTGGTTGTAGTGATTACACGAATGCATTGTTTTCCAAAATCGGAGAAGACGGAGATCACCAGCACTCAGTCAAAAGCATTTAATTATTTTGCTTATTTATTGAAGAAACATGTCACCAGCATAAATTAGCCAACATTTCTGGGCCACGCAGAGTTCCTTCTTCAGAGTCTATTACTACAGCCTGTAAGAATTTTTCATGATTAACTGTTCTAAATTGTTAAAAAGGAAAATGTGGTTGGCTTATGTAGATAACTGCTCTTTGCAAATGAATGTTGCTTTTTTTTTTCCTGTGCCCTGCAGAATATGCCTGCAATGGATTACTGCACTGCAGTAGCTTTGTTCCAAAAGACAACAATTCTGTAAAGTGCTGGCTACATCAGTAGGGATGTCGATGCTGACCTTTCCAAGTACAAAACTATATTATTAATATTACAAAGCACAAATGTTGTTTAAGCAGGGGTTCAATTAAACCATAGGAGTTGAAGGTGGCTCGATAAAGAGCTAGGACTGAGGCAGACTGAGACATATTTCGCTGCAAATGCTACTGCCTCTCCCTTTCCTCATGACAGTAAGGGGTTGATTTACTAACCTTATAAACACGCCACGAACATGTATACACCTCTGTAGTGTGTTCCCTCCCAGCATGATCTATGGGTGGAATCTAAACACCTTTGTAGTGTGTACACACCCAGCAGGTGTGTTGTGCAAAGCCAAGCATGAATTGCAGGTTGATGTTGTGTAAATTAGCTCTATGTTGTGTTGCTTGCGTTGATGAATGCAGGAATGTAAATGCATGAGCTAACCATTTTTGTCTAAACTGTGAAGCAGCATTATATATGCATCATGTGCATGATTTTTCCATATATGGCATTAGTGGAAATATGCTTTTAGAGACTTTTTGGTTGATAAATACGTTTTGCTGTGTAAAAATCACACGCACCTAGTGCGTGCGTGTGTTTAGGTTAGTAAATCACCCCCTAAGAGTCTATCCCACTAACAGCAATATGTAATGCCCTGCAGACAATGTGTTATTTTTGTAAAATATTTTTTTATGGTCATATAATAACTGCATTAAAAGTAAATATGTCAAACATGGACGTTGCCAGAAGAACTGTGCAGATAAGAATTGAAGGTAATGAGGCAATATAGCAAACAGACAACCAGCATTTTTTTAGAAAGAGGTAAGCAGCACTTTTGTTTTCCTCTCATGACAGGTTTACATTAATGAGTCCATGGAGCCGTTTAGTTGTAGTATTAGGGTGTTACTTATTTGGTAGTTCATGCCTTTAAAATGATGTCTGTATTAAACAATATGTAAAAGAAATCATTACAACTGTCTACTCCCCCCCCCCTCTTTTAATTAAACAATTGCGGCCCTCCTACCTACAGCCTGCCTATGCCAGGGACAAGCCTGAATAGCTGTGGCACACTGTCTGACAATGACTGATAGCGGTGCAAAGCTAAGGTGTGTAATCACTCAACACGTTGGCTCTGCTTGGTGGACAATACCTCTGTAGCTGAGAAATACAGGCAAATAAAATGTTAAGTTATTCTTGGCTTATATGTCAAACTGATTTGCTCACTAGACTTTTTCTGTAGAGTATTTCAGTTGTAAAACATGCTGATTTTTTTTTTAATCAGCTAATTACTATATGCTCTGATTAAAGAAGTCATAGTTAAATGGAATTTGAATCAGAAGGGCTCTTTATTGTTCAGTGTTGAATAACTTATCTTTAGGAAATATTATTTTACCCTTCATCCAAACTAATTAGATTTTCATGGGTTACCACACATGGGAACAGCTTTAAACTGTAGTCCCCATGACTTTCTATTCATAATGTCTTATATGTTATTTGGTTCCCTCTAAAGAAATATTCAAAATCCTTAATATATTCTTTATAAAGTGCCACTACTATGAGGCCAAGAAGCAACGTAGACTAGTACATAGATAGAATTTAAAGTGCCAGTCTACGATGAAATCAACTTGGACACTAATGCCATACTGTAATAGCAAACACTACAAAGTTCAGTTACTCAGCAGTGACCTTGCCATCTGTGTGTGGCAGAATGGTTTGTCAGTGGTATTGTAGCCCCGTCACTTATGAGTTTCTGTATTACACCATCTAAGCACTGGCCTGTAGGTTTCAGCTCAAAGGAATCCATGTATCAGTTTAGAATAAACAACACTGGTATAATCAAGCCCATTTTTCCACTGCAGAACGCAATACTTCCCAGCAAACCTGCTCCTCCTGTTCCCTGTTCCCCCTTCCCCAAAAAGTGACAACCTTATGTAACATTCAGGCTTCAGTTTTTAGTTAGTTATTCTGTACTTTCTTTAGTGGTTTCTGGGGTTTTGGGTATAAGACTGTTGAGAGGTCCTGAGATGCTTTATCCTTTTGGTAGTGTGTCATCTGCTTTACTGGTGTTACAAAAAAACAGGTAATGTGACTTTTGATGTGTTACTATGTAGTGATCTTGAAGCACAATTCTGGAAATTGTGTAAGGGAAAGTAATAGCACTCATCAATGTTTTATAGACAGTTTCAAAATGTGTAGATTATCTTTTATTATTCCTAGGCAATAAGAGATATAGCTCAAATTCTGGCCTGTGCCTGTTCAAGGAGCTGTATTTGCAGACGTGGTTAACTTAACAGGGAGCCATGTTTTTCATTTGAGTCATATTTAATTCTGAATAACTTTCAGCCATCATAGGTCTCCTAACTTCACACTGATTCAAGGACAGAGATTGCATGACACTGGCAAATAGTAACATTGCGTTATTTGACAGTAGTTCACACTATTTTACATTATGCACATGTTTTGCAATTCCACTTTAATTATAGATATTTCAGTATTGCACAATAGATCTGCTTAATAGTAATACAGTATATGACAGCACTGCATTGATAGCTGAGTTCTTAGACAAAGAAAACCTTGACTGCTGGGAACATGGCACTTTGTTGGCTATGCAATTTAATGTTGGTGTGTTGGTGGGCTTGGGAGACTATTTATTGTACTGCTGGGGTTACAGAAACTGACCTTAAAAACTCCAGCAATCAGGTGAGTTTCCTACCTGTCTTGTATCTATGAGGTCACCACAGGTTTTTTTTTGTGC